CATTTTCCCGGAAGGACAGGTCTTCTTCTAGCCGAATCGAGCTTTATTGAAACGCCGGAAACAAACACAGACAGGGAGGAGGTGGGGACCAGAGGGGCGGGAGGGGACGCGAGTTTCGGGGTGACGTCACGTGCCGGCCGGGCGCGCTTGCGAGCTGTCTTTTTTCTGTGCATCCGCTCTTCACGTGTTTATTCAGAAAGTAGTGAGTGCCCCGGCCCCTGCCCTGAAGGAGCCTACCGAGGAAAACAATGCAATTTTAAGATGGATGTGGGCTACAGAGAAGGTATCTCTGAGAAGTGAAACGTAAGTGGAAACCTGAGTGATGAGTTGCCCAGTGGTGAGGCTAGGGGAATGTGCCGGTCGGCGCACGGGAAGCGCCGGCCTATGGCGTGGCCCGCCCAGCCCAAGGCTTAGAAGCCCTCAAATGTTAAAGTTGGAAGGATCCTCAGTGACCATCGGCGTTTCGTAATGGGCTTTATGGCAGTGGGAGCGGGGCTTTTCTTCATTTGCGGCACTCCTTCAGGCACTGCAAGACATTTGGTGTTTGGCTTCAGTCCAGTAGTAGCTTTGGCATTCCCGAGTCCTCATAACAATCCAAACGCACCCCCACCCAACACACACGCTTCCAAAGACCCACAAGGGGTGATGGGGGTGGGAGGTGCTGTACAAGCCAGTTGAGAACCTCTCCCTCAGTTCCCAATTTTGCTTATAGAAAAACGGAGGCACAAAAGCTGAAGCAAGTTTCCCCAGGGCACAAAACTAGTAAGTGACAGCACCAGATTTTAAACTCAGATGTCCAGCTGCTCTTTCTACCACACCAATTTGAAAATCCCCTTCTTCCAAATTGTTAGAAAGTTTTTTAGGCTGTTGGGGAAAGCAGTCTAGTAAGCATCACACCTAACCCTTACCTTTTCTTTATAGTTCAGCCTGGAGAGCTGTGTCCCCGAGGAGATACCAGGAAGCATGCTGGAGTCACAATAGACATCAGTTGGGAGATTTAAAAGACCCCATAAACTCCAACATCAGAAACCCCTCTTCTCTGATATGGAAAATTTGCATTTTCTGAATCCTATGTAAGGTGCTATAATAAACAAGAGACAGTTCCCTCCCAATCAGACAGAATCTGTAGATAAAATCTGAAGCTATTTTAGGGAGCATAGTTGCAGCTATGTCTGTATCATTGCAATCTAATCCATTCTGATCAGATTAATTAATGTATCAAAATTCTCAAATAAGCTCTGCTTTGAAGCCTAAGGATTTCAGTAACCTGCTCCAGCCCTAGCTAAATGAGAAATACTTGAGTAAAGCCCATGTCAGGTGGCTGTTCCCTGGCAAGCTCCCCTGGAGCCTTCCTCATCCCGTTCCCTGACCACAGCTGAAGGCCTTTATTTCCCCCACAGTACTGAACCCCTTCTGATCCTGGGCCACAGGTGCCCTCAAAGTGACGCGGGAGAGAGGATAGCCGTATCCCAGGTCTCAGTTGAGTCCCTGGGATGTGTCCCGTCAATGTGGGTCCTTGGCTTCATGCAGGAAAGAATTCAAGAGCGAGCCCCAGTTGAGTAAAGGTAGATTTATTTGTTCAAAAAGATACATACTCCATAGACAGAGTGCAGGCATTTTCAGAAGGCAAGAGAAAGGCCATGAGGTGTAGGGGTTGGGTACTCAGTAGATATACTCCATAGACAAGCGGACCATTTTGGAAGGTGGGGGAGCAAGAGGCCAAGAGGCACAGTGTTGCAAGTTTTTATGGGCTCAGTAGCTTTGTATTGCTAACAAGTGGGAGAATTACTCCACCTACTTTAGGGGAAGGGCCTAGGATTCTCAGGAATTGGGCCACTGCCCACTTTTTGACCTTTTATGGTTAGCCTCGGGACTGTCATGGCACCTGTGGGTGTGTCATTTACCATGTTCATGTATTACAATGAGTGTATAATGAAGTATAATGAAGCTCAAGGTCTATTAGAAGTCAAATCTCCTGCCATTTTGGGCCTCAAGGCCTGTTGGGAGTTGAATTTTACGCCACATTGGTGTCAATTGCTGTGTCGTTTCTTGAATGGTTTGCCTTGTCCCCTTCGTTTCTGTCTCAAAAGCAAGGATGCTTTTCTTTCAAGCCTCAGAATTTTGCCCCCCACCACCCCGCCTGCTGTTTTGCTTTTGTGGAAGTCTGTCCCTTTTCCCCCAGCCCATTATAAACCTTAGCTCAGGTCTCACCTCCTCCCTGAGCCTTCTTAGATTATTCCAACCCAAATTGCTCTTTGAGCATAACAACTATAGTGCTTAGAACCCGTAATGCTTCTCCAGTTGTGTTGTGCATGGCGATTTCGTTTCGAACAAAATTGTGAAGTCAGAATTCTGTTGAGGAGCTATATTTGTACTTCTGTCTCCCCTAATGCATATAGCAGGTACTAATTGATGGAATCTCTCATATTTTTCTCTTCGCCTTGCCCCCATATTCCTCTTCCTCTTAATGAAATGTCCCTTTTATATATACAAATCTTAAGCTTTTAATATAAACATTAACCATAATTACTGTGAAGATATTTTCAGTGGTATGGGATAGAATCTTTTACACAACAGAGCTTAGGACTTCAAGTTGTCGTAATGCAAATCTGAATTCTGAACAACCAATGCACCAACTGTCTAGTTTTCTAGTCGGTAACCAAGAGGCTTAGCCAGTAAAGAAATTTAGTCAAACATTATTCTAGCTGTTTCTGTGGAGGTGTTTTTTTTAGGTGAGGTTAACATTCAAGTCAGTGGACTTTGAGTAAAGCAGACTGCCTCCATATTGTGGGTGGGCCTCATCCAATCAGTTGAAGCCCTTAGGAGAACAAAGATTGACCTCACCCGAGCAAGAAGGAATTGGGCCAGCAGACAGCCTTCAGACTTCAGCTGCAAGTTCCTGGGTCTCTAATCTGCTGGCCTACCTGGCAGTGATAATCATGTGAGCCAATTTCTTAAAATGAATCTCTCTGATAATGGCTGATGTGATTATCTATCTACAAACACACACGTGAGTGCACACTATTGGATCTGTTTCTCTGGAGAACGCTGGCTAATACAGAGCTCAATAGCAATTAGTCTGTTAGGAAAAAATCAAGGCTTGATTGATGGCTGGCCTTCAGGATGAGAGAGCTGACTTGGGAAAGGGGAGGCTAGCTTGTGCTGTGTCCCGGCTAGGTGCTGAGCGCATGGAGAAGAGATGGAAACCAAGAGTCATAAACAATCATGAAACAAGTTCTGTTTTCTTTGGGGGGGGGGGGTGTGCATTTAAGCATCCATGTGGAAATGTGAAAACAAATATATGTATGTATATGTAAGACAGGGACATTGTGCTATACACCAGAAATTGACCCATTATAATTGACTGTACTTAAATAATTTAAAAAAGAGAACATGATTAAAAAAACAGGGTTTAAAAAAAAAGCATCCGTGTGGAAATGGAACATGCTGGATTTTTCAGTCAAATCCGTAGCAGCCATAGCTAATGAGAAATGAATGATGGTAAACCTGAGGCTTATCAACACTGATGGCTGACACCTGTGTGCCATTCACCAGCCCTCCTTCCGGTCAGGTCAGCGCGTTCTCAGGTAGGTGGAGCAGTGGGGACTAGCCTCACTACAGAGGGAGAGATGAGTGCTGAGACCTCCTGACCCCTCCTCCGTCCATGTGCAGCTCTGTCTGTTCCTCAGTGGAGAACTTCACAAGTGACTGCCAGGAGCCTGGTGAGTTAGGGAAGAGAAGCTGAGGGAGGGCGTTGGAATTGGGGATGAGAAAAAAGGAGAGAGAAAGGAACTGGTAAAGAGGGAGACAAACAAGCTGAAGGGGCAGTAAAAAGGATACCATTTCTCTGCATAGACATCAGAAACAAAGTTGGACAGGAAGCTTTCTGCTCAGGAATTCACCGATAAATTCATTCCCCTTCCAGCTCTAAAGTTCTTTACTTCGACAAAAGGTCACATCTCTCCTCTTTGTATTTCACTGTGATCCCGCTGCAACAAAAGGTTTTTCTCAGCTACTCAGGGGGTGAGGCTGTAAAGTGCATGCACTCCACGCTAAAAGTAAATTCTTGCATTAGTTATCCAAACTGTTTGAAACGAGGAACCAAATTTTCAGCTCATATCTCCCTCTTTATCAGCAAATGGTAATTTAAAGCCATTTACCAGGGCCATGGTTCCCGAGTGGCAGACTTTGGGCTATTAAAATTAATCCTGACAGAAGATCCTTGCTGCTTTCTCCAAGCACATTCAGGCTGTTGGTTTATGAGCAGGATGAACAGACGGCCCTTCCCAGAGGGCTTGAGGGAGGAAGCGCGTTAAAATGGCTGCCTGCATCTTTGTTTGCTCAGCTGCTTGGAAAAACTAAAACTGAGGGAAGTGGGATTAATCAAGGGGGCAGTTGCCCACAGGAAAAAAAAAAAATAGGACAACTCTGGTGAGAAAATCCCAACCAAATAAGGTTCAAGTTGAAGGGAAAATAATTCTTTTCTTGTCAGACTTTCACATGGCTGAGTGTTGTTTGTTGACAGATTTCCCATTTCAGGACACCACAGTGTTTTGTGAGTTTTTTGGTTAGTGTAGGAAGAGATAATTCAGGGGGAAAAAATTAAATGTTTGATGCTGTAAAGTTCCAGGTGATTTTACTTTTTAATTAGCAAATTTAATGAAGATTACTGGTTAGATAGGTGACTAACCGGGATTGAATAGCACCTTTCTATGATTTCTCAAATGAATAAACTCACAAACCAGAAAAAAAAAAGTCATTGAAAGATACACATATAGTGATATTTGGTGCAGAGTATACAGACATTGTAGCTGAGGCCCCTCTACTACAATTAGGAGATAGAATCTTGAACAAGATTTAAAATA